CCCGAACTCTGCAGATACCCGGGCCTGGCCACCTCGTGAGGAGTGGGCATGCCCCCCGAACTCTGCATGTATGATAAACTGTCTGACTAATTCCTTGCTCTTGAAACTCCAAGAACCTCTTGCATAGGCTCAGACCTTGTGTTTACCTCAACATGTTACGTGTTAGCTAACAAAGCGAAGGGAAACCAATCCCAGCTGACTTCCCCGGCTCACAAGCCCTTCCTGCATGTATCACCGAGTCATTGCAACTCCAGAGGTTGAGTCAAATCTTTCAGATTGATTCCAAAAAAAAAAGATTTTTTACAAAATTGACTACAAGACCTCAAAACCATGGAGCTATACTGAGACCATTCAGAATGTGTTGACTGTCACAGCTGTCCTATCAGGGGTTCAGTTTGGTGGCTTCACATGGCTGCTGCTCCCTCACTGGACAGTGACCTACCGGCAGGTCTGGGAGTGTGAGCATAGTGTCAGTAGGTCACTAGGGCTGTGGCACACAGTATCTGTATTAGCAGGGATTCTGTAAAGACACAGAACTTATAGAATTAATATATAGATTAAAAAGTCGTCTATTAGATCGGCTTACAGGGTGACCTCTGGGTAGCCCAACAGCAGCGCTGTTTCACAAGAGGAAGGCAGAGAATCTGGTAGTTGTTCGATCTGTGGGACCAGATGTCTCAGCAGTCCCAGTCTAGTGCAGGAGGCCTGGAGGGTTCCTGCAGAGCTGCTGGTCTCTGGTCTATGTCGGAAGGCTGAAGAAGTTAGTTCTGATGTCAGAGGAGGAGCGCAGAGCAGCAGCAGAGATGACGTCATCAGTGAGAGCCAGGGAAAGCAGACAAAGAGTGAACCCTCTTTCTCCCATTCCTGTTTTTTTTAACCATGTGTATGTATGCGTGTGGGTTGTGCAAGAGCCATGTGGAATCCCTAGGAGCTGGAGTTAAGGCAACTGTGAGGTACTCAGTGGGTGCTGAGAGCTGAACTCAGGTCCTCTGCAACCACAAGAGCAGTGTGCACTCTTTTAACTGCTGAGCCACCTCTCTGGTCCCTTTCCTGTCCCATCTGCCCCCAGAAGGTGTCAATCACATTCGGGGTGGGTCTTCCTATTTGAAATAGTCTGATTAAGAAACAGCACTTAGAAGCCTGGTGGTGACGACACACGCCTTTAATCCCAGCACTTGGGAGGCAGAGGCAGGCAGATCTATGTGAGTTTGAGACCAGCCTGGTCTACATAGGGAGTTCCAGGACAACACCAGGGCTGCACACAGAAACATCATCCTGAAGAAAGAAAGAAAGAAAGAGAGAGAGAGAGAGAGGGAGGGAGGGAGGGAGGGAGGGAGGGAGGGAGGGAGGAAGGAAGGAAGGAAGGAAGGAAGGAAGGAAGGAAGGAAGGAAGGAAGGAAGGAAGGAAGGAAGGAAGGAAGGAAGGAAGGAAGGAAGGAAGGAAGGAAGGAAGGAAGGAAGGAAGGAAGACCAACCACTGGGGAGGCAGAGGCAGGCAGATCTCTGAGTTACACAGAAAGAGACCCCATCTCAAAACACAAAACAAAAACCTCTCATGGGTGCCCACTGGCTTGCACTTTAGTTGACTCCAGACGCTGTCAACCTGACCACCCAGACTAGCCATCCCGGAGACACTTGGGAAGTTCCAGGCTCACTTGCAGGGAGGAGGCTGGAGTAAACGCAGCACGGCCTTCTCCCACACTTGTTTTCACTGACGCGAACGCTGCAGGCAGAGCAGTCACAGGCTGGAATTTCACAGGGTTTCCTGGTCCCTGTCTCTCCTTTACCCCGTCAAGTGCTCACCCTCCTTATAGTGGCAGACCTCTTCACCACCTCTGCCTTTTCAACTCTGCTGCTTTTGACAGGTTTCTCTCATTTCTTGTCTCTGGATATAGCTAATACTTTCTTATTGTATGCCGGACATAGTGGACATCACATTACAGAATGTCTGAATTCTTAATAGAGTATTGATTAGCTTGATCATGTGTGTGTGTGTGTGTGTGTGTGTGTGTGCACTCATGTGTGTGTTTGGGTGCTTATACACACATATACATATGGAGGTCAGAGGTCAATACCCTGGACCTTTTTCAATCGCTCTCCACCTTATTTTTTGAGACAGGATCGCTCAATGAACCTGGAGCTCACCAATTCAGCTACACTGGCTCTGCCAGTGAGGCCCAGGAATCCACCTCTCTTCTTCCCCAGCACTCACCACCACGTCTGGGTTTTACAGAGGCTCCAGGGCTCGAACTGGGGTCTTCATACTTACCTGGCAGGCACTTTACCAGCTGAGACAACTCCCCAGACCTAAGCTTTATCCTTCAAGACTGCCCTTAAGTTTTCCAAGTGCAGAGCAAACTCCTGGGCTGGGCCTCTGTGCAGAAAGCAGCCTCTCTGAGTGAATGCATGTGTGGAATGTATATGTAGGATGCTGTGTGAGCCTGTCTGTGCATTGTCATGTTTCCAGAACTCTGGCTTCCTTTTTTGATAGCACTGACATTGAAAACGTCTACCTCGCTGTTGTGAGATAATCTTTTTTGTGAAGATGTGTCTCTGTCTAAGGCCCCTTCTGGTTGGTTAATTTAATGAAGGGCCAATAGCTAGACAGGAGAGGGTGAGAGGGACTTCCGAGGAAAGATAGAAACTCTGGGAAAGAGTCTGAGGTGGAAAATTGCCAGCAAGATGCAGAGGAGGTCAGATGTACGGTACTGAGGAGAGGTAACGAGCTACGTGGCAGAATGTAGATTAATGTGAATGGGTTAATTCAAGTTTTAAGGGCTAATCGGGAACAAGCCTAAGCTAAGGCCAAGCTTTCATAATGAATAAGAAGTCTCCGTGTCATTATTTGGGAGTCGGTGGTCCAAAGAAAGTCTGACTACATTTTGGCACCCTTCTGAGAACAAACCGCAAACTGAAAGCGTCTGGTGCCTGGGATGCTTTAGTCTCAGTCATGTGTCCACCCTCCTCCCCCTCCTTACTGTCTGAGATAAAGGTGGTCCTTCCATCCTTCCCTGAATCTTCCACCTGGTTGGTCTCACAGTGGTCCTCAGTACTAGGACAAGAAGTTGAACTGTGAGCCAGACCCATCCAGGTCCGGGTCCAAGGCTGAAAATGCACTGTATGGCTAAGTCACACAGGGTGAGCAAGAACCATCCATGTGGACAAGGGCAAGAACAGGACTGTTCTAAAGATCAAAGGGGCCTATGAAGACAACAGCAGCCTCGCCCATTTCCCAGACCTCCATCCCTCTCCACTCTCCACCCCTTCCAACTTCTCAGACCCCGAAGCCTCCTCCTTCATATCCACACCAGTGCCCAGCCTGGCCAGAGCCAAGCATTACCATGGAGGCCACCCTGCTTCCCCCTCACCTCCCACGGCAACCCACCTGGCATTTCCTAGCTCCCTATGAACTCCTAATTCCCCGGCAGTGAACATGATTGGAAGCCTTTCCCACCTGGCTGCCAGGTATTTGCACAATGGCTGACCCCCTTCTCATCCAGATCTCTTAATTTTTTTCAAGCGACCCTCCTCTTGCCTTGTCTCTGTTGCATTTTTTTCTCTCTCCTCTGTGGAAGCCCATCCCCCACACTGTAGCCTTCTCCCTCCTCTTCCTCCTCAGCCTACTGCCCCCAGGTCCTGTGATGGACAAGCCTGACTGTATGTGCACAGGGCTGTTCGCAGGACAGCCCTGAACCCGCAGGGTCGCATTCTAGGCCTCTTGTGGAAAGATTCCATCTTAGTTCCTGCAGCCCCCTCCCAAGCCCCTGCAGCCCAGTCAGTTCTCAACATCAGTGCCTTTCCTTGTGACCCACACCATGGCTGGTAGCAACTTTCTTCTCCACCCCAGTCTGTGCAGATAGGCACTGCTCACCCTGTGGGGCTCAGCCTGGGTCTGCATGTAGGTAAGCAAGGCCCTCTGAGGAGCCGGATCTGTGGGGAGGAGAGTGTGTTTACTTTTTCTCAGAGGCTGTTTTATCTGCGTAGGCTGCATGGCTCAGCGGTCCATGGCAGAGAAGGGATTTGTAGACACCGGTCTGCACCAGGCAGCAGGCACAGCGGACTCTGCCCACACTGCCTCTCAGATCCTGTCCAGGCCATTCCTACATCCTCAGTCTCTGAGCATGCTTTCCTTGTGCTCCCTCAAGCCCCCACACAGCAGGTCCAAAGTCTAGGGAATTCACTGAGGTCTAAGCCTCATAGCACATTAAAATGAGGCTGGATAAATCCATGGAATTAAGAGCTAACATGAAGTTCTGGTGTTGGAAGAATAATTTTTTTAATAGATCTGTAGGCATGACATCCATTGTAGATGTTGGTTTGGAGTCAATGACTAATAAAAATGTCATTTCCTGTGATTTTTATCAATTACAGTAAATATGCCAGTAATCACCCACTTTAGCTGCTGAGACACAAGTGCTGTCTGGAGTTGAGGCTGGGGACCTCTCAGAGGCTTCAAGAGGTAAACCCCACAGGTGTAGACTGACATCTGGGCAAACAGTAGTTAAGCATGCTGGAATCTGGAGGAGAGAAGTGTTAAATGTATGTCAGGCATGCAGCTTTGGACTTTCCGGGAGGGTCTGACACATCCAACAGGAAACGGGTAGAAATTACCCTAACGGTACAAATCTCGTCATTTGCAACCTCGGAGGCAGCAGGCTCATTTAACACATCAACTCAGAGATAACGATTGGCGAGACTCAGCCTGGTATTCATTCCACCTTTAAAGCGTGGCAGAACCAGGGAGAGCTCCGTGTGTCCGCAGATGACCCTGTGGTGACCTTTCAGCCCCTGCAGCTGCAGAATGAGTCAAGGGCCAATTGCTCCATAAGCTAAGATCTGAGAACCTTCCTACTTCTTCAAAAATAAAGAGACATGGCTGGAAGCTCTTCCGAGCTCATTGGAGCTGAACATGTATTTCAACACTCCAAGCACTTATGCGTTATCCGCAGTCATCCCTGGCTAGTTCCTAGCCAATCACCAGAGATCCCTGTCTATTTCAGATGCTGCAAACATCCGCTGTCAGCGTGTGCAAGGCTGTGATTCCAGAGGAGAGACCCAAAGCCTCCTGGGCGTGTGTGAAGAGTGTTTAGCGGGAGGCAGGAGGCAGGGCCCCTGAAAGCCAAGCCGATGAGCGAGAACCCTGTGCTGAGTAAATGTGGGCTCCTGAAGGTGCAGAGACAGTGGACAGTGGACAAGGTATGAGGAACAGTTTAGGGGCCCACCCCCACTCTAACCCTGCAAGGTGAACCCTGAGAACACTCGGGAGCTTTAGGGGGAGCAGGAGCAGCTGGTCCCCAGAAAGACATCAGCCCAGACCCTTCCTCTGGTTTTCTCCTCTCTGCCCCTCTCTGGGCTCCACTGAGGCAGGAATGCTAAGTGCCAGCTGCGGCAGGCTGCTCTGGTGCAGACTCACCTGTGGCCACATGCACACACCTTGCCATAGACCTGTCACACCTGTAGGGATACACACCTGCACAGATAACTGTCTATACCTGCACACAGACGCACCTGCACATACCTGCAGGTACACACACACACACGTACACCCTTGCCCACACTTGCTCATACCTGCATACACAAACAAACCTATAGGGATACACACAAATACATATATGCACCTTCAGGGACACACACACACACACACACACACACACACATCCACATCTGCATAGATATACATACTTGCTCATGCCTGCATGAACAAACACACCTGCAAGAATACACACATGCTCACACCCACCCACACCTGCTCACATCTTTAGAGGCACACACACTTGCAGGGGCATTAATAACAACAACAACAATAATAATAATAATAATCTGGTAACTTTTCTCTCTTTGTACTTTTTCATGTCTGCCCAGAGTTACTTGATGAGGTCAAAGCTGGTCTCTGTGTCTGTCTTCAAGAACACAGAAAGAAACCATTTATTTAAAAACAAATAAAACAAAACAGTACAGTTTGACTGGCTAATGTCTTCCGAACTTAACATATTTTGAAAATAATGGTTACTAACTTTCACAGACAACTAGCAGTCCCACTGAGTGGTGAAGATGTCTCAGAGATGCATACAAAACACATACAGGGATGAGCTGGACGCTAGTCAGACCTGTGAGTTAACTTCCTGTAGCTGAGAGAGGAAAGCTAATGGATCGGATCGAGGGACCACATCACCCCATTGGCTCTGGAGATCTAAGTCAAAATCAAAAGCCAACCTCGGGCCCAGGTAACTCACTTCACTCGGGCACAGGATGTTTGTGTGGAGTGATGGGCTTCTTAGAATGTGAACCATGCCTTGAGCAATGGAGTTGTTCTGTAATCGGCAAGTTTTCCAGAAAACCTGTACTTCCCCCCCCCCCCTGCTTGACTATTGCTGATGGGAAAATATTTGTTTTCCTCAATGAATAATTTGTTGTTGTTGTTTGGTTATTAGAGCCAAGGTTTCTCTATGCAATAGAACAGACTGGTCTCAAACTCACAGAAATCCTCCTGCCTCTGCCTCCCAAGTACTGGGACTAAAGGCACGTGCCACCATGTCCAGCTGAATGAATGATTTTAGAATGCATGTGCAACAACGGCCTTTTAACCACACACTGTTGTTAGCACAGTTGTTAATTCATAACAAGTTAACTTTCACAGAACAATGGACATGTTTTTTAAGATATTTTTTGGCAACACATTATAGACTCATTATTCCGTTAATTAAACCTCTCATCCCAGTTGCCTTGGGTTCTAAGATACACATATGAAATGTTTTTATCCTCTAGAGACTGACGTACCCTTAGTCTCAGCACAAGTCTCTGGAATTTTTTTTTTTTCTTTCACAGCGATACATGGAATAGAAACATGCCCCAGGCTTGTTGGAATACAGAGGAAAGGTGTGTGCCCATGGAGGTAAGCTCAACATAATCTGTGGTCCATGTGATCTAGAATGAAAAATAATTTGTGAGAAGATCAGCTACCTTCCTAATACCTTTTTCATGTAGGTGTTGTAAGATCATATCCCCAAACTGAAGCGTGACTCCTTGTATTTCAATACTGTTTCACCACATGGGTCTAGCAGAGAATACACTTTGCGGTCTCCACGACCAACTCAAAAAGCTACAGACAAGAACCTCGAATTTCTCAAAGAATGAAGCGAGCCACTGGCTATACTTAGTTAACATCCGGGTTTTAAAATGAACCTGCATGTGTGCAGCGGGTTGCTGCCCGATGTCCTCTCAAGCCTATGGGAGGCAACTACCGTGATGCCAAGAACTCACCACGACCCTCCACCTGGCACCAGCTTGCCAGCCTGAGGCCTCCCGTGTCTGTTCTCGGAGCCAGGAGAGGAACAGGGCCAGTGGCAAACACTAAGTCGTGCTGGGGTGGTGAGGGGAGAAATACTGTACTTCGATATTATTTGATGGTCATCCTTAGATGATCAGGATTCCAGGCAGGAGCATTGCCCCGGCTGGTACAATGTTGGAAGTGGGTCTTTCTCCTTGTCGGCAAGCAGACCATGCCGCCTGCAGAAGCCAAGGCGGTGAGCTCATGGTGATTGGCATGTGGTCTGAGGCTGAAGGTGATGCTGCTTCCTTTCAGCCTCTGCCCTTCACCTCGTCTCAATTTTCCTGGGACCCTCCTATATGCCCGATTTAATGGGAATTACCTATGACTTCAATTATTTGTTTCTTATCAGCTGATGTTAAACTACAAGGATTTGCATTGAATGGACACAAAGAGCGAGCAAGTCGCGGCACATGGCCAAATGAAAGAGTGATGTCCTGGTGAATTTAGCCGAAATAATTTACTGCCATATAAAAGTGGGGAAGTGGAAGGTACAGCCTTTGACCAATAAATCCCTGCTGCCCGTGAAACCCTTATCTGGTCCCCTCCGATATATTCCACACAAGGAAGCCATCATCATTGGCTCTGGTTAGTTATTTGTAAACCTTGATCTTCTGCACTCCGTGTCCTAAATACGGGTAATTAGCATCAGTTTATCGCACTTCTGCATATTTCGTCTACTCTCCAAACACGCGGGCTTCCATTGGCTGCCATTCTGCTACAGGAGATTATGAAGACAGATTGCAGAGAACGCATGTGCTAAACGAGATTAGGAAGGAATAGAAATAGCAACTTGGCCAATAAATTCCTCGTGAGAGCCTTATCATGCAATTACACGTTGACTAGCTTCACACTCTCCCGGCCTCTTAATCCAGTGCCCCCACCAGGAATAAAATTTCACTAATTTCTGGATTGCTGCAGATCCTCCTGACTTGTTACTGAGAGCCGAGGCGAGGTGCTGCCGAACACGTCCCCGAGTCGAACTTCGCCATAAAAAAGTAAACTTTGAACGTCAAGGTGGGTGGCACGCGTTGGGATGTTCAAACAGCTCCGTGTCGTCTCGGTGGAGTGAGCACACACCGTCTGGGCCCTCGGAGTCATTTTACTTTTCTGTGAGTCCCCGTTCACTCGTGGTGCCAAGTTGGGGGGACTGTGCCCCTCCTGGTCTGTCTGAAAGGGAGGGCCTGTCCACCAGACTCCGAAGCGCAGCGTGTTTAGAAGCCAAACAGTGCTCCAGGTGATGCTCCTTCGCGTTGAGCCGACAGCAGCCAGGGTGCCCCTGAGCAATTCTGGGACAGTCCCTCGACCTCTTCAAGTTCATTTTCCTCCTTGCTCACACAGGCTGTCTCTCACACTCTCTCGTGTGCTTTATCCCCCACCGCACATTCAGGTGTATAAATAGGAAAAGCCGGCCCACTCTGCACCGTGAGAACAACCAAGAACACTGTAATAGGACTTCTACAGGGGGATCGTGATTCTTGTCCCTCCCTGCCTGTTAATGTTATTCTCCCCAGGGCTTTATAATAAGTTAGGTATTTAAAGAGGCCCATTAAGCCTTTCGATCTACCAGGGGACTATTTATAGCACAGAGCCACAGTCAGACATCATGAGGCCCCCACAGAAGCAAGGTATTACAGCAAGAACCCCACAGGACTGAACTTCTCTTTGCTGGAAGGCATACACGGACATCCAGATCTGTGCTCCCAGGAAGGGTGGAAGGGATTAATTAGCTAAGAAAGTCCACAGCCATTGTGATGCAAGTTTTTATGTGTAGGTCACCATGTGGCCTTTGCTTTCTCTTCACCAGGTGATTCCTACAGGGATTTACTGAGTAGAGGGTCTCGTGAGCAATCCAGAGAAAGGGTTCTAGGTTTCATTTCCGAAGGTTCCTCACGGGCCACATTCAGAGAGGGACCAGGCAGCCTCCAGGCAGTAAGCGGGCATCTGTGCCTCTTCCACAGGAACACTGCGTGCACCGTTCTAGAGCCTGGTTTTGCTGCACAAAGAGGAGCCCTGGCTAGATGAGCAACCACCCAGAATGCAGGTATGCCTGGACCTTGAGAAGGATGGCTTTGCCTTTTCCAAGTGGCCTGGTCTTTTGTCGGCTGGCTGGCTGGCAAGGATTTTTTGTTTTCCAGAGGGAAGCTTTCACTCGTCTGGAGTGCGGGAGAATGAGCCACGGCCTGTGAGGCGCATGGAGATACTTGTCTGAAGGAGTTGACTCTTAGAAACCACAGCACAGAGGCCTGAAGCAGGGAGACACACAGCTGCTGTGGCTGTTCCCCTGCGGGCACCTCCGTCTCTGGAGTCACCAAGACCAGCACAGAGTCTTGGAAGTTGGAGTGCTACCTCCCTGCTCCTCTGAAGAGAGGCCTAGGACACCTGTTGCTGAGGGGCCAGAGTGGCCGGGCCCCTGCTGGGCCGGTGTAGAAGGAGTGAGGTGGTCAGTGGTGTTTCCTCTCTGGAGCCTTCAGGCTAGATTGGGAGTTCTGTGCGGCTTCAGCCACAGCTCTCTGCTCAAGCCGAGATGCGCTTCAACTGCTAGGCCTAAGGCACACGTGGCCGCTGGAGCTCAGCTCAGCAACTGAGACTGAAGGACCCTCCAGAGCCCCCAGAAGACCCCCGCCCGGGGAGTGACATCAGTTGGGGAGCTATTAATAACTGCCCTCCCTCCCTGTCATATTTCCTGAACTGGTGAGCTTTGTGGAGGGGGTGGAGTAGGAGGGAGCTGCTTGCCATTAATCTGGGAACAAACAGCTAACCCCGGTGACTGGTATTTTCGCTTTTCTTTTCTCACTTTTCTCAGTGTGGGGAAGGCGATTGTGAGGCGCTCTGCTGGAATTTGGCAGCGCGGAGGCTTGGAGAGCAGCCCCATGCTGGCTCCTATTCAGCCGGCCAGTTTTCCTCGAGCTTTGGAAGTTTCGCTCAGCCGTGCACTCAAAGGCTTCACAAAGCTGATTACAAGCTTCAGCGCATTCCTGAAGGAGCCAAAAGCGACGCAGGTGCAAACGAGCCGAGGGAGCCCCTTATCCCGGTGACAGAATGGGACAAGCTGGGAAAGGCTTGGACCACACAAATCCAAGGCTCACCAGGCAGCAGAGAGCCTGCCTTGGGAACCGGGGGTCATTATCCGCCCTATTCAGCGGGGCCGGGGACCCCGGGGCCGGGTAGGCCGGTCGGGCGGCAAGCACCACCGCCAGTGTGCGCCTACGGCAGTGGGGACCCCGCTGGGCGCTGCAGCCCATCGGGATGTTGGGCGCTGTGTTTGTTCTCACCGACAGCGGTCCGTGAAATCTATCTTGTTCCTGAAAGCTGGTGTCCACGATAAGGGGGTACAGGAGAACCAGGGTGGCGAAGATGCGCTGTTGAGAGCGCACTGGCCTGTGCCTGCCGCAGGCCGCTCTCAGCTCCCCCTCCCCCCCGCGCGCCCCAAGTCTTGTAACCCCCATCCCCTCGCCCTCAGCTCTTCGTTTTTCCTCTCTGCAAATCCTACGGAGAGCGGGCTGCACAAAGTGCGGTGGGGAGGGACAGTGGCCCGGAAGGGGTGGATCACCAGGTGGTCCGGTGCACCTAGCCGGGCAGTGGAGAACGCGGAGCCACGTCTAGGGGCAATTAAATCACATCCCTGCTAGCAACGAAAGAACTACCGACCGCGTTGACAGGCTGGCTCGGCGCGTAGAGCTTGCAGAAGGGACGAGCGTGGGACGGACTGAAGTGGGACCGCTGGAGTTCAGGGGCGGGCTAATCCGACCCTGTGGGCAGCCCCTTCCCACCGCATCCAGGTCAGCACAGCAGCCTAGGTCCCCCTCTGCGTCCTCCCACTCCCAGCCTCACGTCGTGAGGCCTCAGCCCAGCCCCAGGCTTTGCCCGGCTGCACCCCGAGGTGCCCGCGTGCAGGGCGCGGGCGGGCAGGGCGCGCTTGCCGACGCTCTTTTGTCTGATAACTAATTTGAGTTAATGCGATCTTTATGTAAAGCTAACAGCGGATAATTGTCTATTTTCTCGCCAACAGTCTCCATCGCAGTCACTTATCTGGAAACCTGCGGCTGGATTAATCGCTATATTCCCAAGATGAGCGGTGCGGCAATCCGCAGTGTAAAACGGGTGGGAACTCGAAAGCATCATCCCCCAGGCTCTCCCGGGGCCAGCAGTCGGCCAGCTCCCTGCAGATCTGAACGCGGCACCGTTGCTAGCACCTGTTTGGACTCGGGTGGGGATGAGCAGGCACAGAGCCGCACAGAGGATGTGGGGGAGGAGAAGGAGACAGACCTGTGGGGACCCCGGCCTGCGAGAGGCACAAAACTGCCTGTGGGAATAAAGCCTTTTGACCTGACAGAAATGATGCTGTAGACGCTTCAGACCGTGGCCTATTTAGATGCAGAAAAATGCTCCCTCCCATCTTGATCTTCCAACCTCACCCCTACTCCACCCGCCGCTCCGCCTTAGGCCCCTCCCCTGGAATTTCCTCTTTCAGAGTCCTGCTTCTCTAAGCAAAGCACTGGCAATATTTAGGAACTGTGGGCGTGGAAATAAATGCTTGTTTTCCAGCCCCTCATCCTACCTACTGGAGTTGAAGGTGGTGGGCTGTGGTATCAAAGCTCCAGAGAGGAAGCATGTGCCTACAAAAACTTTCTCAGCTGAGGTCAAAACATCAGCTCCGCGGGAAAAATCATTTTGGTGCCCGAGGTGCTGCCCCGGGGGGACTTCTCTGGAGGTGTCAAAACTCATTGCCGGTTTGTGAAAACCAGCACTGCTTCTGGTCTGGCTGGTTAGTCACTTGGAGGTAAACCCTCTGCTGTGGAGTATTTTTACATCTCGGCTTTGCCGCCCCGCCCCCACCCCCACCTTTTTTTTCAAGATGTCATTTCAGGAGAAGAGGAAATTCCATTTCACACTGTGACAGCCTTGGCCTCCCATTTCGGCGGCATAGTAAGTTCCACATGGAACATACGTTCCAAGAGTGAACACCCATTGGTCCGTCACGTTTTTAGATTGTTAGAGACGAAGGGGTACCCCGGGATGCTCCCCCAACTGGGCCCTGCAAGATCCTCTTAAAAGTCAGTGTTCCCCTCCACCAACAGTGGGAGGAAATCTTCAGAAGCCACCATGTGACTCCCTGCAAACCAGCTCAAGCCGAGGTTCCCAGGACAGCTCCTCCTCATGCCCTTTGGACGTCAACCCACTGTGGCTCTCACCTGAGTCCTGTCACCTCTGCCATCTCGAAGTGATCTGTGGACAATGCTGAGCAGGACAGCCCCTGGTCAACCAGGCAGAACCGTCTATGCAAATGTTGGAGGCCTGCCCTGGGAACAGTGCGCCCATTGTCCAGGGCCTTTCAGAGCCGGCAGCAGCTGCTCAGACTCGCCGCCCCAGACCCGTGGCTGCCACAGTCATGTCATCCTTGCAAGACATCAGACTCTGAAAATTATACGACCCGAATTCATGAACAGCCTTCTCTTGAGTGTTTCTGTCTGTGACAAGTTGCAAAGTCCAAAGCTGCTTCTGTTGCTGGGGACAGGAGGAGGGTGTGGGCAGGAGCAAGTCTGCGCTTGCTTCTTACTAGAGGACTTGAAAACTTTGCAAACTGTCCCTGGGCTTCTGAAGGGGGGACGGAGCGGGGGGGGGGGTGTCTGGCTCCAACAACTGAGAATGTGAGGCTTTTCTGTTTTCTCTTGCTGCTATTGCAAGTTTAGATGCGTGGAGAGGAGTCAGGATGAGGAGATGGAGCAGGCCTGCCTGCCTGCCACAGGTGCTGACCTCTTTTTTATTAGCTTGGACTCCAAGCTGTACTTTCTAGAGAAGCAAGCAGGCTGACTGACTGGCTCAACACTCTCAAACCACCTCAACTCTGAGTCCCTTCAGAGGGGGACTCGGGGGCTCATGTAGTTCACATCCATCCATCCTCTCTCCCTGCCCCCGACCCCCAAACCAGGACAGGAAAGGATGCTCTTGGGCCAGAGGTTGGTGGTTCCTGGGGTGGTAGGTGAGCATGGGGACCCAGTAGTGGGTGGCCTACAGTTGCCTTCTGCCAGAACCTGGGAGTACATCCCTCTAGTCTCCAGGCCCCCAGCCTAATGGGGAGGACTTTCAGGGATACTGAGGAGGCCCAAAGGTCCAGGTAAGGCGGCTTCCACCTCGCCTTCAATGACTGGTCCCAGGGACCTCTAGTGTGTTGCATTTTCAATTTTTCTTCCTTCCTTCCTTCCTTCCTTCCTTCCTTCCTTCCTTCCTTCCTTCCTTCCTTCCTTCCTTCTTTCCGTTCTTTCTTTTGTTTTTGTTTGTTTGTTTGTTTTGTTTTGAGACCAGGTCTCACTCTGTAATTCAAGCTGGCCTAGAACGCAGTACAATCCACCTGTCTCAGCCTACTGAATGTTAGTGTCACCTGCCTAAGGCATCCTGCTCTGTTGACATGTCCCCTGACTCCTCACAGGACTCTGCTGCTGTTCTCTCTCTGCCTTCTGCCCGGGTGGAGCAAGTTCCCAGGAAACACCAGAAACCCACCAGACCGATTGATTCTAGAGGGATCAGCCCCAAGACAGGAAGGTTGCAGAGCATGTCCTCCAGCACTGAGTACGGCCTCCCCTGTGTACCCAACCCTACCAAGGAGCCTTCCCAATTCTTGATAGCCTGAATGGGGAGGGCTTGGATACATGTAAAGTTTGACAAAGTATTGTTTTATAAACATAAGAGAAATGGTGGAAAAATAAGCGGAGAAGAGATCCTGTAGACCATTGATTTGTAGGCTTATTGATTTGGGTTGGAGTCTCTGGGCATCTCAGGCTGCCCAAAACCAGGGGGACTAGGGCATCCATGGACACCACTGCCACGGGGAGGCCAGCGTGATAGAAAATGCATGGACAAGGCGGGCTCTCAGCGTGTAGCAGGACCTGGCTCCCTGTAGATGCTCAGGATGTCTACTGAAGGGCTGCAGGGGTCCTGGGAAGGAGGGTTGGTAGGGCTGGTAGCCAGAGACAAGTCTCTGCCAAAGGACCCTCCCCATTTCTGGGGAGCTGCCCTGGGCTTTCCCAGGCTTCTCTCCCCTTTCCACACACACGTGGGCTCTTTTCCTCACCTGCCCACGCACACTAGTACACACAGGTGCCAGACATCCACCCTTAGATTCACAAGTGCCTGACTCCGCTCAAGCACAGGGCATTCTCCAGCTCCACAGCTGTGGTCCAGGTGAACCCTGGATGGTTCATCGGGACTCAGTACCTGACCTCCAGGCTGCAGAACTTGAAGAACCCTGGGCTAGGCACACAGGGCAGAGTGAGTGAGTCTAAGGGTCTTTCCTTCTGTCCTTTCAGGATCTGATTTTGTCCTAGAACTTGACTGGCCTGTCAGATTGTTTCCTGTCCTTCCTAATTTGCCCTCTCCATCTGTATTTTTTCCGGGTTTGCCCTCAGAATGCCACACAGACTCCATGTTATTCACAAGGGCAGCTGGCCACCCCGCATAAAGTCCCTAAGCACTCAAAATTCAGAATATCACACACCCTGGATTTAAAGATTTGGAATGAGAAAGAGCTCACTGACTGTGTGTGATGTTGGCTACAGAAATGGCTGTGCGTGAGATATGTTGAATTAAATAAAAGGCATTATTAAAGTGAGCGTCACTGGCCACTGCACTTGGAAGTCAATGTGGCTTTGCTAACTCCCCTTCACTGGCTCTGTATCCTTTGCTGCTTCCTTTGGTCTTCCCAGGATCCTCTAGGAAATGGAAAAGGAAGAAGTGGGGAAAAGGCCTGGGCCTGAAACCCAGCAGGGGGCAGCTGGAGTCCCTCCCAGTTCTTTTCAAAGTTATTCTTACAACAATCAAAGCTTCCTTGTTTTCAGGACCAGGCAAAAGAGCCTCATATTCATTGCTTAAATCATATTCTTTCTATTTTAGCTTTAATTCAGTTTAGTTACGTTGTGATCTCCGCCAGCAATCCATGAACCCTGCAGCAACTTTTGAAGAATCTTGCTGCTAATGCTGCATGGTGGAGGAATATTGATTGTCGGAGTCACTCTGTGGGTTCTATGGCGTTATAAGGAACCCCTCTGCTATTTCCAAACTTCTAGTCAGCAGTTGATACTTCTGGCTTTAATTTTTTCCTGCAAATGTATCACCAGGTCTAACTCAAATAAAACAAGAATTCTGAACAGCAATTTGCCTTCTGTGAAAAAGGTCTATCACAACCAGGAATGAGTTCCTTCTAGAAATTCTTTTCTTGGCTAACTTAAAGTTTTAGAACGTATGAAATCAGACATGGGCCAAGGAGGCCACAAGGAAACATGTTTGTAAACTTTTATTTTACATTTATTCATTTTTTGGGAGGCGTACATGCCATGGTACACATGGAGGTCAGAGGATAATTTTCAGCGGTCATTTCTCTTCTTCCCACTGTGGGTCCCAGGGATCTAACTGAATTCATCAGGCTTGGTATCAAGTGCCTTTATATGCTGAGCCATCTTGCCAGTCCTAGTAAACTTTAATGCTAAAGATATTAAACTTTTATATAATATTTTAGATACTAGATGTCTGGAAGTGAACTTGTAAAAACTAGAAATTTTGTTTTGTCATTTGGTAATAACAAATGAAAAAAAAAAACTGCTCCAAGCTTATTGTCTATAATATATTCTACTAAAATACGCCATGAAAATTTTACATGCATAAGGCTTGGAGTATGTACAATATATTCAATATATTTATTTTGGGGGTTGTATAATCAATATCAAACAATTCAGGAAAATGTGAAGTTAAGTCCACTATGCCAATAACTGGAAATATCTCAGATATGATTTGAATAAAATTAAAATTATTCTTCATCATAAAAGGAGCTATTCTGTTGTCCATTATTTGTACATCCATTTACTCTTCTGATTTCAGCTGAATTCTGTATCACTAAGAGAAAAATTATAAAATACCAAACACTGTCAACATTTTATGAATAAATGAGTTGATATGGTTTCTTTGGGGAATGCATTCCTTGCCAAATATTATTCTTGGGATTTTTTGTTTAACTAGTAAGAAATGAATAGAAGTATTTTAGTCTCTAATCACACTGTTGTCTGTCTATGTGTTATTGTTTGCAGAAGACAGGTTCTCAAGTGTCCTGGGTTGGGTTCTAATCCACTGTGCAGCTGAGGCTGACCTTGAAGTTCTGATCCTCCTGCCTCCCCCTCTGAGTGCTGGGATTCCAAGTGTATTCCACCATGCCCGGTTTTAGGCAGTTCTGGGGATGGAGCACAGAGCTTTGTGCCTGTTGGACAGACAGACACTCTACCAGCTGAGCTACAACCCAAGCCCCACACTACACATTTTTAGTAGTTGCTAAGGAAATACCTTCAAATGGGGAACATGTCTTGCTGAAGACATCGGCCTCCTATTAGCAGCCCACGTGGTGTCTTGGATATACAGGATGGCTGGCGCGTCCTTGGGCAAGGTGCTTCTGTCTGTGACACGTTATCTTTGCTCTCGTTTACGCTGACCCACATAACTGCCAAGAAAAACACCCAGACTTCAACCATTGCCCACCCCACTGCCCCACTTTCCCAGAACCATGGAAGATTGAGAGCATCCGGAGTGCTGAGCAAGGACAGAGGACGGAGCAAGGGAGAAGGCACCAGAGGGGCAGTGTACAGATCCCACATACTAAAATTCCAGTTAACTGATGCACGGGTTTGTTGAGCGAGCGCATCACAGCCTCCGTTTGCTTCATCATCTTCTAAGACCAGGGAGACTTCTGTGGGCCTTCCATTTTCCTTTTCTCCCCGGAGATTACAATGGTTATGCACTTTCAAATATTCACGGGCAAGATAGTGTGGATAAACAGCCCAAGATTCACTAAATTAGGTCACCGCTCATATGGGGCCGGTGTTATATGTCCCTTGTGTTGAAATTATCTGGTGTCAGCTGCATTGATTGAAAAATTGAAAAAGCACTACAGACCAGGGGGGGAGTCTTATTACAAGATGTCTCAAAAGCAGATAAGAAAGGAACGACGGCCTCCTGTAAACGGGTCTTATCTAGATTTTAATATGGCAGTAAGCAAATTATAAATGTTTTTGCAAGTAAGATAAATTGCATAGGAAAGCAGACATATCTAAAGCTCCCATGATTCTAGCTATATATACTTCGAGTGTTCACCAAGCTCTCTGTGTGTGTGTGTGTGTGTGTGTGTGTGTGTGTGTGTGTGTGTGTGTTTCCCCACTCCAAGTCACATTCCATGTAAGGACAGAATCCTCAGCAGAGTCAGGATATGCCACCTGGATAATTGTTCTCATTCTGGAAGAGATTGATCAAGACCCTGAGGCCAACACCACTGTGAGAGCCCCTGGCCTTGAATCCCCTCATCAATGACATCTGCATCAAACCAGTTCCTCAGAATGTCTCTCCCAAGGATGACCTGGAACCTGGACCAACTTGTATAGGCCCGGAAGACTGTTCTTCAGGCTTTCCTACCATGACCAGAGGCCAGTGGCCTTTCCTCACTAGCCAGCTTCTTAGTAACATTTTGGGAAACCAGTAATCCTAGTTGGAGCTAGTCCCTGTTCTCTGAACAACCAAACTTAACTAGCTCCATGTTCCAGAGGTATTTGAATTGTTCATGATCACAGGTATTATTTCTCAAGACATCAACACAACAGACATCAGTGAGAATATGTCAAGATCGCAGTCAGGTGGCCCGGGAGCTTAGGACTCTGGAGGATGCCGCTGTGTGTCTGAGTGGCACGAAGCACTATGATCTCCCCTTCAGGGCCAAACTGTGTTTCTGATGGGAAGGTAACGTTTGACCGTACAGTGAGAGCTGAAGCGATGGAGGAGAGCAGCAGCATCCACTGAAGGCCACTGAGCTCCCTGCTGCGGCGGCGGTACCACGGCAGGAAGGCGAGAGAAGCGACTAGCCACAGCTGCGGTGGATGTGGATGCTGCAGAAACAGCTGCCAGGACAGAAATAGAAAACAAAGAAGTTGGAGGCTGGGGTCTGGAATAAAGAACATTTAAAACTTAAAACACCCGATTGCTTGGGTAGGAAAAGGATCTGGACAGTTCAAATTCGCCCCAGCTAGGTTTGAAGGCCTCTACTTCCTGTCTGCTGCAAACTGGCGTCGGAGAACCCATGTCCTTAGGAAACCTAGCGTCTCTTCTGGGGCCACTGTAGTGTCGAGGTGTCTGTGCTTAACCACCTGTGTCCCTCACATGTGGGGAGCAACGAGTCTGTGAGACAGGGGCTGGCAGAAATCTCTCTTCTTACTTAACGAAAATTAAGTATTGTGAAGAAAGTCACATCTTCAGGAGACTCCAAGGGGCCAGCCTAGAATCAAAGCCTTTGCTGTCCTTTCTGGGCTTCCCTGGCATGGCCCTTCCTAAGCCATCTTGTGACCTCTCGGTTGGTTCACCGAATGCAGCGACACCAGGACCTCGTCTAAGAGTCGGCACAGGGCTGTGGGCTCCGTCCAGGCTTTCCACACCTCTGCTGAGGTTTTGTTTTGGTTTTGTTTTGGTTTTTTTTTTTTTTTTTTGGTTTTTCGAGACAGGGTTTCTCTGTGTAGTTTTGCGCCTTTCCTGGGACTCACTTGGTAGCCCAGGCTGGCCTCGAACTCACAGAGATCCACCTGGCTCGGCCTCCCGAGTGCTGGGATTAAAGGCGTGCGCCACCACCGCCCGGCTCTCTGCTGAGGTTTAAAAGGCCTTTTGATCCCCCGTCTGCGAGGCTCTCTGTGTCTCCCCATATGTCTGCTTTCATTCCGATAATACAGGAGGGTATATGGGTTAAGGGACTCCAGAACAATTGTAATAGTGAGCGTTTCTGTGGGGGGGCAAGGGGAAACATGGTCACCTTGCTCTGGCGGCATGGCAGCTCCGGGAATCTCAGCCAAGCGGGACAGGCAGAAGGACATCATTCTAGGTGGGAGAAGAGCATTAGCAAAGGCACAGAGGCGTGGATAGCAAGGCGTCTGCAGGAAGTTGTTACGGGGTGGGTGGGCAGGAAGAGAAGCATTAAGAAGCCTGTGAGGGAGGGGGAACTAGGCATGGCTGGAGCTGGGCATCAAGGGAGGCTGTGTTTGTGCAGGGCCAAAGCCCAAGCCTGCAGAGCAGAATGGAGAGGGCAGTCTCTCTGGAAGGGGTGGGTTGGGATCGGGAGAGAGATTGGACTTCATGCTGCTGGACAGACAGACAGACAGACGGAGACACATAAAGGGAGGTTGTGTGTCTTGATCCATTCACTGGAGGAAGGAAATGAAGAAGTCAGGCTTAACGAGGGCAGTGTGGAACAGGGGGCACACACTTGGGTGCCAGGTCGGGAGGGAGCTCGTGAGGGGGCATGGTAGGGTGACCTCCACGCGCGTGTACTTGAAGAGGGTGAGTCTCGAAGATGGCACTCGCTAACTGAATGTGATTCTGTTTGCTGAAGTACTTCTGTGAGCGGGTGGAGAGGGTAGGGCCCGCGTGAGTGTGCCACGCTGGCTCAGAAGTGCTTTCCAGGCTTTTAATGAAAACATTGATTACTAAGGTTATTATCTTGGTAAAATAAAGTGCTTCTCCCACTGTGATGGGCTTTAAATTAAAAACTGGTACTAAAACACAAATGTGTAATTCGCGCTTAAATATTCACTTGTGTTATTTTTGTTGATTTCATCTGTGAGTGTGTGTGTGTGTGTGTGTGTGTGTGTGTGTGTGTGTGTGTGTGTGTGTGTGTTAGTCATGGATCAACCTAGAGTGTCCTTCTCAATCACCATCCACGTTATTTTTTGAGACAGGGTCTCTCACTGAATCTGAGTCTTACTGACCGGAGTGGTGGGCTGAGAGCCTCCTGATTGGTATGTACCGCCGTTTTTAACCTATGTTCTGGAAGTGAAGCATGTACCAGTTGACAAGTATTTTGCTGACTGGGCCATCTCTCCAGCCCCTCTGTTGAATTTTTTTGGTGTTTTAATTATCACATTTCAAAACAAGGCTCATCGTGTCTGAGCCGGAAGCAAGTTGGGAAGCTTTTCTTTCAGACCTGTAGCGGTGCTCAGGTCACATGATCTTAGCCAACATGCCAGCACTTCCTATGCCCTCAGCTGGGTCACCTCGGCCAGTTCTCAGATGCCCCACAAGGCAGTTTTTAACCTCATAAAAGCTGACTTGCTGGTTAAGAATCTGGGGCATCACTGGATTC